GATTTGGGAAAAGATCCCTCTGTGAAGTAGATGAGTGAGATGACAAAATTAAGTGCCTTCTCTGCTTACTGCGGCATATGTTACTGGCCCATCTACCCATTCCTTCCTACTAATCAAGGCCAACTACTAAAACCCCCAAGCAGTATACATGCTGTCACCACAGTCCTTGAAAATAAGGTGTGTGAGGTTACATAAAACGACTAGAAGACAGCCAAACCCAAGACCCACATGTTTGAGTTTAAACCACAGTTTGAAAAATGACTGCACTGGCTACTTTATATCCAGCTGGATTGAATTTCCAGGGGACAAAACACAGTTCCTGCCCTCCACTGTATCACTACTGACACGAAATGAAGACCAAAGTAAATTAATATTCTAGCTCTCCACTACAGCAAAGAGATTGAATGTACATTGAGTAAACTCACTCACTGACAAGATGGCTTGAATAACTTGCATGGAGTTACAAATTCTGTGATTCTGTAATGCCTACAGAGACCAGCAGAAGCTGGACTGTTATTATCCACATTGTGGCAGCAACCGGAGATGCTAGTGTAAAGATACTAAGGACTCTGTGAGAACAGATGCATTTCTCCTGGTTAATATGAAAGCATGACATAGACTTAAAACACTGTATAAACAAGAAGCCCATAAATTAAACCTGACCGTCACACATCTACATAATCTACGACAACTTTCGTGGGAAGAATATATTGCATCAGAAAGTAAAAATCTATTCATCACTCACTACAGATACCAAATCATAAAAATTGACGCCAAAAAGAAAAATGGTAAATGAAGCCTTGCTGTGGTAGAACACAGAACTCCTGAAACATGCAACAAAACCATTAATATCTACACATCCTATTCTTATGCATATACATATTATTTAACATAAGTGTGCAGAAGAGTCCAGAACTGATGTTAGGTGCTGCCAAACTTACATGAACTTCTCCCACCCTTGCAGAGTTTAATGAGCAAAGGCTCTACCAAATCTTCAGAGAAATAAAATCTCTCCATCTTCCTTGACCTCAGAGTTTTTTCCTAAGTGTAGCTTGTAGAACAAGTTATTTTTCAATCAAATATCCATTCCACAGGTATGAATGCACTAACTATATCAAGCTATAATAACCCTTACCATACCTGTTCCCCTGTTACATTTTACATAAAGCCATTGGGGTTTAAAGACTTTAATAAGAATTTAATTAATAATTTGAAAGGTGCAAATCTCTGGGGGCCCATTTTTGCTCATAAAGTTAAAAACAAAACCCTCCTGACTATGAATTAGAACATTTCTAACACAAGTGAAACAGCTGTAGCAGTCCAAGCCATCCCAGTGCTATTTTCCTAGACTCTATGAATCTTTACAAGTGCAAGGAACTGCGACAACACCTACAGCAGCATGGATCCTGAAGAAAAAAAAAAATATCCAAATAGAATGGAAAATTACTTGACCCAAACAAGCAGCTCTTGGAAGAGAACTAGGTGCTCTAGAAGGAAAAACACATGCTCTTACAGTCTGCCAGTTAGGACATGAAAACAGAGGCTTTCAGGGACCTTTAAGATATTTCAGTTTTTTCGGGGAAGGATTCTGAAATAATATTAAATGCCACAGCTATGAAAAATAACAACAGATAGACCATTTGCTTTTGGAGCAAGTCAGCCAGTAACACACCACCAACTACAACTACAGAGAAGGAACCTCACCACTTTTGGCCAAAAAAATCAAAAGGAAATACTGCATTTCAATTTTAGGCCCTAGCACCAGCCATCTGATCCCTAGCTGGAACAGGACAAGGCAAGCTGGGTTTTCTAACCTCTTTCTAAATATCAGTCTTGAGGCTATTGACTGTTCAGAGACCTGTAACAACCCATCTCCTCCCTCCGAGGCTTTGGCAGAATCTCCGATTGATCCCAATAACACATTAGGGAACTCTTCATGGAAAGAGAAGACGTTCTCAAAATCCAGCGCTAGACAGAAGCAACTGCTTCTCCCTCCTCCATATCTCTTTGCTAGAAGCCAATTTATATTTGCCGATTTTGGAATTATTGATAATATACATTTTAATTATTTATTTATAATATACATTATAATATACATTTATAAGATACAACTTCTTTCTTCATTATTTGTACTTACAATATCTACTGTTAGTTAAGAGGAAAGTCTGACCCGTAATTAAGCAGTTTCAATCCTCATCTTTGCTGCCATCTGTAGGTAACTTGAGTGGTACAAAGGAGACACGAAGCCAGTTTGAATCTGGTCAGATACTAATCCTGTGATCACGGCCTGCGTCCATGAGAAACCATGACGTTCTTGTTACCTGCCCCTCCTGATCTTAACATTAAAATTAGCCAGAAAAAGATAAAAAATACAACTTGGCTTTGTCTCTCCTTGTAACTCAAAGTAATCTTGCACCTGAGGAAATTAAAAAAAAAAAAAAAAAAGGAAAATTAAGTTGAGGATCCATGCTGTTTTACAGCATTGTTACATCATGGTATGCACTGGAATATTTCGACTATCAATATGGAACTGTAAATATGAAATATACTCTGGGTGTATGTATGATAGTCAAAACTCAGGTGTTTTTTCAGTGAGCCATGCAACGTTTTAGCAAAGTTATTACTTTAAAAAAAACTTTTGAAAAGAAAAATAAGACAAAAGCAGACAAGTTGATCATATTTTTAAACCCATTATGATCAATTTTGGAAATCTGAAATTAAACAAGTAAGAGCAGAAATTGAAATATTTGATTTAATGACTGCACAATTTTAATACATAAAAATAGATAGTAATGAACAAGTTTATACAAACCAGATTTCTTTTGTATGGTACAAAACAATGATGGAGATAAAAAAAGATTTGCTGGATTACAGGGCAAGACAAAAGAACCACAAAACATCATTGAGGAAGAGTTTTAAAATTATCAGAGGCTTATTTCATAAATACAGTGCAATGCTTTAACAAATACAAAATTTACTATTTAATTTATCAACATCAGGAAATATATAAAATGTCATCGAATGACAATCTTATTTAAAAACTGATGCAAATACAATAGCCTTTTTATAATTGAGGTAATATTACACAGTAAATCAAAAAAGCTTCAATAAATAAAACTAAACCCAAGGCAAAGTGCAATTCAGTGAAAATAAGAAGATAAAGCTTTTATTTTAACAATAATAGATAAATAGTTATTAAAAGTGGGCTTAAGCCATAAAAAAATATTTTGGCTAGTTTGCTGTGTTTTCAGATAAACTGTATAGCTATTTATTCATATGCCAACCTTCCATGAATCCAATTCTAGAGAGGGGAAAGAGGGAGGTCTTTGTTTCCAGATTTCATACCTACATCCACACTCAGCTGCTAGAAATCTAACATTGCTTGAAGCTAACAAGTTCATTCAGTGAAATGGTGAAAATTTCATTTATTTAACATCTGAAACCCTGTAAATTAAAATTTATTTTAAAATCTCCATGTGGGAGAAACAATGTAAAATGCACAACTTTGAAGTGCTGCTTTTAACTCCCTCTGTGCTAACCTAGTTTTGTTCCAGGCTGAAGTCAATGGAAATTTTATTACTGGTTTCAAGGAGAGCACAATGAATACAGTGCCAAACATTTTTAAATATCCTACAATTTATCTCTGCTTTAATAAAACAGTGGAATCACCAGTACCTTCTCTAGGAAGTAGAATAAAATAAAATTTACACTTAGCTATCAAAGTAAATCCACAACAGCTTTGAAACTATGGATTAGGCAGATTAATTTGTACATCATGTGTAAATCTGTTGGTTTTATATAAATAATACAGAGAGGGAAAACAAGAATAATATAGTATTTTACTCTTATTGCAAATAAGTAATTGAGTACAGACACTACAAGTTACTTAAGCATCCGTGCCCCAGCAGAAGTCAATGGGGAAAGCTGACAAATTAGATGCCAAAGTGTCTTGAACGATCTGGGCCTCATTCAGCTGAGAGAAAAATCTATAGAACACACGGTAGCTATTCATATTAAAAATACTCTACTGTATGCTGATAAATTCTTTCCCTTTAATGAAAAAAACCCAGACTTAAATTACATCTGCATTTTAGAACCAGTTTCTTTCCCAGCTCCTAATTTACTAATTCAGAGCAGGCATACTAAGAATTCTTTTCATATAGTTTGTTCAGTGAAAACCACAAAACACTGTCTTTAAATGCTGGCCTTCAAGTTAATGAAAGCTTCAACATTCTTCTGAAATGTTACTGTATTCACTTGTGTCACAGCTTACTTCAGACTTTCAACAAAGTTCCTGAAAAAAACGACAGTATGGTACGCTATATCGGTTTTCCATGTGTTGTGGATTTCATTCTTTTCCCGAAATATTTCACCATATATGGAATTTATTTTAAATATAATTTTGTTTACTATAACTCTACAGTAGATCTGGCTAGTTTGCTGTCAGAGAATGAACATACAAGTTGCTTAATTCATGTAGCTTGAACTTGAATCCCCTCAAGCTGAAAAAAGTACCTTTTAACACTCTTGCACAGTCAAGCCTGTTGATCTGTAAAAGCTGAATATAGAACATCTAAAACCTCTTATTCTTAAAAAATAAATTTCTAGCAGTAAATGGCACTATCAAAACCCTATTTGTTCACAGGCAGTTATTTACATGCTTCTTAGACAGCCTGTTTCATTGAGAAGGAAAACCGTAATATTAAAACTGCATACATTTTATAAAGACTAAAATTCCTATTTGCCTTTGTGAAAATATGGCTACATGCTGTATGTTATATTTTTTCTATTATTCATGTTAACTGAAAACAATCTACCACTGGGATTAGCTAATAAAGAAATATTCTGTATATTATCTCCCAGTGGGATACCTGTGATGTAAAAGAATTACGATTAGTGATAAAGTGCTATTACAAAAAACCAGAAACAAACTATAACTTAGAAATTGTCTTAGTTGGGTTTCATTTATCAAACAGACTAGCTTTTTGTACGAAGAAAGCTACTTTCTGTGACAAAGCAAGCGTAAATGTATTGCCATTCAGGAAAAAACATACACTTCATATTTAATTAAAAAAATCTAAATTGGGTAAGACTGGCACAGTATCAAGAGACATAACAACAAAAAGCTTAAAGGCACAATTAGAAGAGAGTGAATGCTACATAAAAACACTGTTCTTGAAGTATTTCATTTTATTCTAGACCAAAACCCTCTGCATTTGAAATTCCAATGATCAACTTTTGCTTCAGTTCCTTCTTGTTCTTGTAAGGAGGGAGACAAAGCTGGTTGAAGCAAGTATGGGCCACAGGTAACCTAAAATAATTTTTAAAAAACCAAAAACACCACATTTAGCAATAATGCAACAGAAGCAGAACACTGCCAACTGCCTACACATTTTCAGTTAAACATTACTTAAATAAAGAAACCCTGTAAAAGGAACATCTATCCTAATGTTCGTTCAAGTTCTGTTGAACACAAATAACACCACTGTTAGTCATATGCACCTCACGTGAATTTGTTTGCCTGCAACTCCCCCCCCCTGCCTTTTACTGTTAAGTTGGAAACATGTTGTTCCAAGTTTGGCAAACTCCAGGTACCACATGACTTCAAACTTAGTTTTTCTCTAAATACAAAATCTGGGTATAATCAGAATTGACAACACAAAGAAGGAAGATGGGTCCCAGAGTAGGTACAGAGACACCTAGATGAAACACAGTTATTGTAAGGATGGAGAACTCCAAGTTCAGCGTGGTGAAATACATCCTTACAGACATGTGTCTCAGTGCAGAGCACCCAGGAGCTGGTCGAAGCCCTGGAAACACAACAGTTCACAACTTCTGGTCTTAGCCACACCAACACTTACAGTTGTGAATTTCTTCTGAGAGCTGAGTTTCAATATATACTGCACATATCTCTTTGGATCGCCTGACTGAAACACTGGAAACTCTGCTCCTCCCTAGATTGGATTAGTTTAATGAGAACTGTTCTTCAGTAGCAGAAGCATTTGTTTTGCCATCAGTATGAGATGCCACAAACATCCTGCCTCATAGCCACGAGCAGTAAGCAGCTACGGGATCTTCTTGCGCTTTATACTCTCAGGTGACATGCAGGACAGCGCTGAGGATACAGACTTGTTCTACAACTGATTACTTGGGGGAAGAGAGGAAAAGGACAATGAGCTGAAGCTCAACTTGACATCTGGAATTAACCCAATGCACTGAAAAATTTCTAAAACTTAGACATTTAAAGTTAAATTTTAGTATGTCACTCAAAAGCTCTCTAGTTCTGTTTTCATTGAAGCCATTAGTCTTTTGAATGGCAGCAGCTTGGCCTTCGGTCATTAGCAAACGTTATTGGAAGGGGGTGGATTCCCCCCAGATTTGGAAACCCAAGCTACTTCCCCCTCCCTGCCCTTTAAACAAGCAAGCAAAGATTTGTTAATCACACTGGAGTCATGTGCTTCAGAATTTGGAAAGCTGGGAAACTGGACATTAATTTGGCAAATCTTATTGCTATTATATTCTTTGATCCTATTGTGTGGGCAATGCAATGCCAACACGTCTATGTTCATCCCTGTGCAGGCAGTCTGACTGCAACAATTGTCTTGCAAAACACAGACCTACAGAATTTTAAAACGCACGCTATTTCAAAACACATTTTCCCATTTTAAAGAAAAAGAACAATTTACAGGAGATGGAATTTAAACAGATTCAACGTTGACTGACTTTTCTTCATTTTTCATTACATTCTCATGTTCCTTTAGCATGTTACTGGAACCAGTTATTAGCTCACTAAATAAAGCGTTAGAAATACCACAGTAATGAGATAAGCCAAATTTAAAAGCAAAATAAAAAATTATTATGTTTATGCATTTAATTCAGCTCTCCACAGAAAACCCAACAAAATTTTGACTTTAAAAATATAGTTCTATTTAAGTATTTTGATTACCTCAAATGTCTGAGAAATCTAGGTAAAGCCAGTAATTACTGCTTAACAGCAATTACTGCTTAGCGGTGAGCTTTAGACCAGTAAGCTTTTCTATACAGCTTTCCAAATTATTTAAGCTGACTTTCTCCAATCCTGAGAAGGAAAATACTAGCTGGAAAGCATGTGGAATTCTCAAGTCAATTCAATACAAAATAAAATACTACCAGAAACATAAGAACTTGGCAGGCACAATTTAACCTTCACAATGAAATGACAAGGCTGCTTTGTTCCCATTTCTTCTGAGCAACCTCTGTATCAGCCATAAATTTACTCACCAGAGACCTTAACGGAATGCTATATCTTCTCCAGCAAACATGTTAAAATTCTTAATTAGACCATCAAGAAAGAATGAAAGCATTTTTTGCAACTGCAGGAGCTGCCACACATAATGATGAACAGAATCAACAAACTCAGAAAAATTCAAGGTGATTCACAGTATGTTTTCATTAGCTCAGCTGTCATGTCAGGAACAATTAAACAATTAATTTATTTGAATTGAAAACATGTAAGGAATCTCTATACATAAAGAATTCCTGGCCTCAACTGTAAACATTGACTGGAGAATCAATTCTGTATTAGATGGTCACCTGCAAAATTTATACAATCAATAAATGGGTATAATAACATTTTGAAGACAAACTAAAGGAGTCCATGCAGTTTCTTCCTTATACATTAGTTTGCTCTTTTTTAAAAAGACATTAAAAAATCCAGAAGGCTACTGACCAATTAGTGGATGTTTCACTCTTCGAGATCTTGAAATTCAAATCAGCCATTCCTCCCACAGGTACTCTGTCACTTCCTGTAGCAAAATGTAGCAGCTTCTTTTGAAGGTCAAGAGAAAATGCAAGTACTACATCCCAAAAGTATCTATGTACAGGGCAGAGGGAGAACAAAATGTTGTAATATCAGGACAAAACAGAATATGAGAATAATAATACAACCACAAGTACTACATGATGAATGTAACTTACTGGGAATTTAATTAAGGTAATATATAGGACATCAGTAGTATCCTAAAATGCAAGGTTAAATGAATTCTTAAGGACTTGACAAGTATAATGTTTTGTGAATTTTGGAATAAAGTCTTGTCAAGTGATGCCCAAACCCACTATTCTATTAAAAATATTTCTATAAAAATATAAGTGCCTCTACTCTCTAACATAAATGTCTTAAGTATCAAAGAGAATTGGAAGAGAAAAAGCATTTTTAAAAAATTAGATAATAAAGACCCAGATTTCATTATGCAGGATTTGAAGGTAATCTTTTCAAACTATTTCCATTTCAATCTGATCATAACCTTTTAAAGGTGTTCAGCAACACATAATGCCATTAAGGACCTAACTCTTCCTACTTACAGATAATTTAATAGAGTGTGTCTTATTTGTAAATAGGTTCTGAAACCTTGAATCATTCACAGATTATTCTTGAAGAGATTATTCTCAACAGTCTACCATTCTATGATGTTTTTAAACTCAGTAATTAGACTGAAAAAAAAATTAAGCCTACCGTATAGTAAGGTCAGTTTTTTGGTAGCCATCATATTGGGTACTTCGCTGTAAAGCGGACATATCCAGTTCAGGACTGCCACAGACAAGAATTTCAACCTCTTCTGGACGAAGCAGCTGCCAGAAATTAAGGATAAAATATTTAATTTTTTTTTTTAAAGATAAGAAATGATGCTACTAGATTCAGATAAAATTTAACAGAATATCATTCAATATAAACCTGTAACTTAGATACACACTGTTTTATAGAAAAATTAATTCCCCAGTACTTTGAAGAATCTCTTACTACTGTCTATAATAAAAAGCAAATTTCTGGATAACATCATATTTTAGCGTGTTCCTTTTGTTCCTCACTTTTTAATTCTTACATTTATTACACTGACTTGCTTGCCATCCGATTAGCTTACAAATGGGTCAGGAAGAAAATTAAGTTTGTACATATGGAATTCAGAGGGAGGATCTTGATCTCAGTTCTGGTTACAACATCCATTTCATTTACACTGAAAAGTCCCAATGTAGGTTGATGAGTAGCAGTGGCTAACGGAACTTGACTCTTAGCTGTACACACTGCTGTGCTGAGCAAATACACATAACAATAAACCATCTTTAACATCCACTAAACTTACACCTACAGAACCTACTCATTCATTTACTACAACATTATTAAATGGCATGAAAGTATGTCATGGCATTTCAACGGATTTTCGTTCTTCCAGAACCTTCCCTGCAGTTAGTCACACCTCACTTTGCTGCAAGTGTGTCATACTTGGCTAATTTCACATGAATGAAGAAAACCAAATTGTAATTGCTTCTTCTTTCTCTTCTTACTACATAACGGATGATGTAAATTACAAAAGGCATTCCAACAGCCAAACAGGACTGAATACAGAAGGTTTAATAATCTCAACCTCACTGAGTGTTCTTCCTGCAAAAAGTAATAGGTGTTTTCAGAGGAGGCACTGAAGAGCACACAGACATAGCTGTTCTGCTGCTCATAACTGTCGGGAATACAGAGAATCCTTGTAAACGTTCACACAAAAGTACATGAAGTGTCTGTGAATGCATACTGATAAGCCTAACTTGTGGAGCTTTACTTACCTGTTTTCAGGGGAACACTAGAGAACAGTTGATTACCTGCTTAATTTCTTCTGCTTATGTTGGATTAATCAACTACATGGATTAATCAAGATTCTTCATGAATCCTAAAATCATCCAGCATAATTTGTTTAATTTAGATAAGTCATTGTCACATATTTGAAACGGAGGGGAAGAGTTGTTTCATTTTATTCTTACCAGTAACGCATATGAAGCACAGACACTATGAAATCCATAATAGAAAGCTGCAAATTGTTTGTAGATTGATTTGTTGAGAAGAAAATCAACATAGAGCTGCACATATTCTAAAAAAGAAAAACATTTTATTTTGTTACATCATAATACTTTTAAATAATAATTTTTGTGCTCTTTCAAATTGTACTGAATTAGGAAAAATGAATGCATTTCATTTTAGATACTATTAAATTGGTAGGCATAACAGAAAAGACTACAGTAATTTCATTTTCACTCTGTTAAAGAAAACCTAGGCTTATAAGAAGGAAAAAAAAGACAAACTTAAATCTGCCAAATATGTGTAGTTTATATGCACTGAAGTACCTTTCCTATTCTGATTCGTCACTGGAATTTTATCTCCATTTGGCTTTAAGTTGTAAGATTTTATAACACCAAATTCTTCCTGAAAAACCTGGAGAACAAGAGGAGTCAAGGTCAGTATTGGAAAATACATTTATATACTCAAAAATTACAAAGTTTGTGTTTATTATTTCATGTATTTCCTCTGTCTCTCTCTTTAGCACATACTGTAATTCTGAGGGTTGTGGTGTTTTTGAAAGTTAAATATTACAATTTTCAACAAATTGTTCAAGAAATTGGTATTCAAAGTAGAAAAACTGAGCCTGTTACACAGTGGTATATCAAAATGACCTGTAGGCTCTGCAGCCACTGAGTTTTTCATACAAAAGATCAATTTAGAAGCATCAAATACAATTAAGAAGATATTTGTTCCACTGCAGCTCACCTAGGAGCTCAAAAGTACCCGCTTTACAAAAATTCTCATGAAGTCTGACAATAATATAACTCAAAGCTGAGTAAAATAGGTCAATACCAGTCCAATACACATCTGTAAACCAGCATGAAATTTTACTCATTAGTATGTATCCTAAAACAATGAATAAATGAAGAAGGCTTTCTTGATTGAAGCAGCAGTCAGACGTACAGGTCACGCAAAACTATCATAACTTGAACAAGCTATTGTTCAAGTGAGATTTCCTGGATGAAGCACATAAAATAACCAGAGTAAGCTTTGATTGGCCTCTGGTTAGACAGAAAAGGGATTGCTTTGCAGCCAGATGAATTCCACAAACCAGGTCACTGACTGCAAGGTGAAAGTGCCAGCGCAAGCAGAGAGCTGGAGATGTACCAGCAGCTGGGCGTGCGACCCTGGCAGCCAGCACTCAGACCAGCCTCTGCTGCCAGGGGACAACAGCTTTGATCCCCATAAGGGAGCCGGCCTCTGTATGCCCCGAGCCCCCAGGACTAGACTGGTTCTTGAAGCAAGCTTTCATGCCCATGCAGTTACATTCCAAACAATCAGTCATCACATAGTAGTAGGCCACTCCATTGCAGAAACATTGGTAAAAATACTGATCACGTTTGAGAATCACTTATAACTGTGTATTTAATGACCTGAAAGGTCGAGTAAAAATCCTCTTCGACATTGCCTTCATAGGATAGAAGTTCACTTAGTCCATGGGCCAGTTCCTACAATATGAGTAAAAACTCTTCTGTAAATCTACGAAACTAAATGATGTACTTCGCAAGGACATGCTAGAATCATTATACAGAAAGTATCTTGGAAAAAGCTGTATATGCAAAATACGTACACAAAGAAAAGCTCACTGCTTAATTAATGTGTATGTATATGTATTTATTTATTATTTCAGTATTAATTGTTACATTTTTCTTTTTACTATAGAAAATGTGTCTAGAATGCTTACATCAGATTTCGCTATTCTAATTTCAAGTAGATCAACAAAATTCTGCTATGCTAGAAAACATGGAGAATTTCTGTTTTCAGCAGAAGGAGACTTTATTAGCCTATGCTGAAATAAGGCTATTTGCAAACAGTTTATAATTCAAGTATTCTATATGAATAAACCAGGTTTTAAATCAGTAATTTAGCCTTTTAAAAAAATTTAATACTTACAGGCATAATCTGAAATAGGTCATCTAATGTGACATCACAGATGCCTACAAGTGTGTTATGATCACAGGGAACAATGGGAGGACTCAACAGTTTCTTGTAACAGCAAGGTGGAAAACGAATATCCAAGGTGATGCTATTATATACAGCAAGTCCCATAAGCTATACATGTCAAACGTTAAAGGCAAACCCCACACATCGTTATTACAGTTAATATTTTAAGTACCTTGGCAAAATATTTTAAAATTTTGTCAGCATACTCTAATATATGCTAAACAAACAGAATTTTAAATGCAGTTTCGTATTACAATTAAATGGTAGTTCTGAATAAATCTAAAAGCATAAAGACAAACCTGCACTGGCACTGCAGCTCATCAGCTAGCACATTTAAGTGTATCTGGTGAAACAAATTTTAATTTATACCAAAAATTAGAAGAATCCAGTTCATGATTCAGCTTCTCATTAGAATAGAATAGTTCAGTTGGAAGGGACCTACAACGATCACCAGTCCAACTGCAGTCAGTAAAATGGGGACATCATTATCTCATGTTAGTGGAGTTAGCATATATTATCATTAATCATTTGTCTCAGGACTTCATAAGTGAGCACAACAGAAAACCTAGGAAAAACTTCTGCTCAAAATAGCATTTGGCTTCTATTCAGTTAAAAAAAGTGCACATACTGATCAACAGGGACTTGAACGAAATATTAATGCATACAGGCTCATTTATGTTTACTGAATGGAACTCAGAAGTGTAAGTACATTAAAAATTGCAACTTATATACAAAAAAGTTGAATGTGTAACCTTAATTCTAGTATTTTCTCACTGTAAAATGTACCACTACCCACACACCACCATTTTCTTCCTATTTTTAGTTCACTTGCTTGAATGGCATTCTTTTTGTACATTTAAAATGGAACACACTTACATACACAACCTGTGAATGAGTTTTAATCAATGCCTTACTTCACCCCCATTCCAACTCCTTGAATGGCTGTTCGTTTAGCACCGTCTAGCGCACATGAAAGGATACAGCTCCAACCAGTCGGAATTCAGAATAGTTATCGCACTTAAAGCTGCTGAAC